TCAATTTAAAAAATCAACAAAATATTTAAAGAGTCTTCTTCACAAAGGAACCTAAATAAATGACCAAAAAATACATGAAAATATGCTCAATATCATTAGTTATGAGGAAAATGCAAATTCAAAACCTTAATGAGATACCAATACATACTCATTGGAATACATTTTAAATTGTAAGTATCAAGTAAGTATTGACAATCATAAGTATTGACTTTAACGTGGAGAGTGTGGATTGCTCTTATATTGATGGCAGGAATATAGATTGGTACAGGATTTTGTAAAGTCTGGCAGTAAAGAAACCAGTTTAAGTCTAAACCAGAGTTTCCAAATTCATTCGGCATCTAGGTCTAGATTAGTGTTACAACCAGCAACTAATTTATTGGTCCACATTACAAAATGTTGGAAGAGCTTGTTTGTAGTGTTAAAGTTTTATTCCAGTTTTTCTGACAGCAAATTGCATAATGTTGTATCTATTTGTCGAATATATTTTGTCTCCAAAACAAACGATATCAATTGATATCAAGGCAATGGCGAATATAATACATAAAGGTATAAACTATAAATTAAGCTACCTGATTCCTAACTCTGTCTTTGTGTCCCTGTAAAAGTAATGCAAACAATCAGAGCTTCTTGTCTTTTACAATGTAGAGTCATTTCAAATAAAATTGTTAAAAGCTCTATGGTAATATTTTTGGCATTATTTTTTTTATGTGGACATACAATGTCAACTTAATAAATACTTTTTCAATATTTCACTGAGGACAGAAAGATCTGAATTAAATGAGAGAGAACAAGATCGGCTGTATAAAAAAAAAATTATCTCTTCAGATTTGTTGGGTGGATTATAAGAATCCGTTAGTTTCCTATGGTACAGAATTACTACAAAATTCAATAAGTCCTGGAAAGCAGTAGAAACAGGAAGAAAGTGTAGGAAGTTAATTCCACATGTGTGTCTCCCCACTGGTAAGCTGAAGCAGGGTGTAAGGATCAGGGCAAGGGATCTTTACAGCTGATAATGAGCAAAGTCCTCATTAAATTGTGGTGGAAGGCCACCCACAGATCATCATTCTGCCTCAATTTACGCACAGATGTTTGTTTTAGAAATTTTTAAAAGTTTAGTTTTAAACAAAAAGAGACATGAAGCTATGGTTGGAAAAGACAGAAAATGTTTCTCTTATCTAGCCTGTAATCTTAATAATTCCCCATATTTTCAGAGCCAAGAATTCTTACCTCTCCCTACAGTCCATTTACAAAGCAGCATTCAATAAATAAATCACAAAAATCCTTAAATAAAATAGTTAAATATATCATTTAATAATGTAGCTATAGAAAAACACACAAATTTAGTCTTGTTTTGCTTGGTATAGGTTATAAAGTAAGTTACTTCTCCTTAGATGAAATAAAAATTCAATGTCATATAATATCTAACTATAGTGAATTTTATTCTGTGAAAAAAAATAGAAATTCATTATTTTATATTTTGTTCTAAAATGAAATTTAGCCTTAAAAATATTTTTGATACCTTAAAGTAGCATGCTATTATATATTAAGCATTGAACTCGTACAACTAAATGTACAAAAATGTTAAAATTAGCACAATCGAGCACCTCTTTAGGAAAAAAAGAAGTCATTGCTGAGATGACACATTTAACAATGACAAAATAAGCAAAACAAAGTTTCTGTGGCATATGTTTACAATTGCTCTGGCATATGCTTACAATTTCTTCTCTGGATAATTTGTAGTCTATTTCATACTATTGCCACAAAAAGGCAAGTTCAGTAGGAATCATTATGCATACCATATTAAAATTTTTATTTCCAAATAAAAATACCTTTTGACAGAAAATTAGGAAAATATTAAAATAAGTGGTCCTGTTGGAAAGATGAAGATCTACATTGATAATTAATCTTGGAGATGTCCAACTTCTACATAAGCTCTCTATCAGCTGACAACAGGTATTTTTTAAGCAGGCAATTTTTCTCCAAAATATCAACAGAATATATGCTTCTTTTCAGCATTTTCTTATAATCAATTTGCCATTAATTTAGTGCATACCTAGAGAGAGCAGGGAGGAAATTGATGAAAAAATGACTGACTGACAGTCGTGCACACCAGCTTATCTGTAATTCGTAATGTCCAGCAGAATCCAGGAGCCTGTATAGAAGGTGGAGATAGAATAAGAAATCTCTAGCCAATGAGAATGCGTCATTTATACAGCTAAATAGTCAGTATCCAATCACAAATTACTGTAAGTAGACTTCTGTCAAAACCATTGCAGCCTTAAATTTCCCTTAAAATCCAACTTGGTAGTTTCCCTTCAAATATAAGACTAAGTGTTCGGATAAGTGGAAAAGTGTCTTGAAGGTAAAAAAGTGATCTCCATTGATTTATGTGAAAATTTTTTGGGAAAGGATCTGCATTTTTAGTGGCTGAAACAACAAACTGGAAAACTGTGAGAATAAATTGGGGCTTATGTGACCTTTTATCATAACTAGCATTTTGTGATTATTTGCCATTCTTACAAACTGAGTTCAGTTTAAAGACTACGATATAAAAAACTAAATCTCTGGGAATGGGTATATTTTAAAGAAACTAATTTATGTTTCTCTACCAAAAATTTAAATTACATGTTCTTTGGTATTATGTATCTATGTTCCCTTTCCCCTCTCTGTCCCTTTATTTCCCTAACTACTTTGACCATGGCAACTTATTGCTCATTTGTGTCTCTTGATATTTCTTTCCACTGTATTTTCCCATTATATTGTCCCTCATGTGGCTTCATGCAAATACAAGAAAGTTTACATGTTAACATTTTTTATTGAGACAGTATATTTAGTCCACAAACGTTAACTTTAAAATTTAATATGAAAATAGTCTCTCTGTGTTGTGCATTTAACTCAGCAATCAATACTCTTCACATTAAAACAATCCATTAAGGAAAAAAATGCTTGAACAAGTTAATCCATACTTACATAATTATTTTTCAACAAAGTCACAAAAACAATTTTATTGAGAAAAATTTCTTTTTAA